GTTTGTAAATGTCATCAGTCAATTTTGATATCTATAAGACTCGGGTAATCACCTGAAGGATCACGTGATCAGTCAATTTGCATGTACAGAGAAATGGAGATTTCTACAAATACATATGGTAATTGGTTTCCTTGTTTACAGTTTTTTAAGTTTCATATTACATATCTGACAGAACGAAAATGAGATTGTGATGTAACATAATGTAACTGTTTTTCTTTTCAACAGGTTGTATAAAATGTTTTACTAAACTTTTTTATTTAACAATTACTGTACATATTTTCTGTATTAAAGGTTTAGATAACCATCACTGGTATGTTTTTGTCTTCACTAAGATGTTTCACTGGACACATGCTGATGAACCCCTTGTTCTATTATCATAATCCAATTTTCGGTGTGATAACCAGATACTTTAACTTGAATATTTTTCACTAACAGTATTGATGAAAAAGTAATATATGAAATTAAACTTAAAATAATAATAATAATAATAATGACAAAAGTATAAATGAAAAAACCAGCTAAAACCTTTGTAGAATTTTCTTTTCATTGGTATATATATCTGTATGAGTTCATTTTAATTCACACGTGATGCCTAGTTTATAGTATGTAATGCTCCTCCATATTCAGTCATTTAAGTTTTAAAAAATCAACACTGCTGATCAAAATTCAATCCTAAGAAAATTTAAATTTTATATAACAATTACTGAGTTAAATTGATTTACTGATTTGTAAAATTTCCAAATATAAAAATGCTTTGATACATTGTATGAAATAATTGCTTACAAACGTCTTCCCGATTGGATACTCACATACAACAGAAATAACTATTACCCAAGTCAGTCCACTAACTTGTCACGCATGTCAATCTTGTAATGTAACACTTTCATAAACAAATTACATTGAGAAAGTTATTATAATATTATAAAGTCATAAATATATTATAATATTATAATTATTAAAGATATAAAATAAAGACTGAGCCTCTTACCTCTGATGCCATAAACTTTCCAAGTCCCAGAGGGAATGTTAGTGTTGCTATCACTGTTGTTACAATGGCTGGGTAAATAAAGCGGCTGAAATTTTCATATGAATAATAAAAGTTGATTAAACAAACCAACAATGAAAGTTGATTAAACAAACCAACAATGAAAGTCACATTTTCATCACATAAAGTATGTATGTAAAAACTGAGAAAGAAAAACTAAACAGATAATAATATAAAAAGTAAATAAAAAACAGAATAGTTCATTAAGAAAATAAATTCATTTGTAATTACTGGAAAGGCTTCTTTTGGTACACTAACTCCAAGATGTTTCAATAAACACTTAACAATTTTAGTGACACAATTAAAAAGTAGGATGTTTGTTTGTTTGTTCTTAAGCATAAAGTTACACAATGGTCTATTTGTGCAGTTCCCACCACAGGTATCAAAACCTCACTTTTAGTGTTATAAACCCTCAGACATATCACTGACCCACCAGAAGCAAAAAGTAAGAATTTGTGGTGTTTATAAAGTAAATATATGAGGAATAGAATATTCAAGATCAAAATATCAGGAACTTTCTTTTTTGCTCTTCTTTAGCAGATCTTTTTTACACCTAAACAGACAGAACGATGTTTTCGATAAATATATTCTTCTTTGATAGATTGTTTAGGCAGAGTATTCATGATGAAACTTTGTAGAATGAACAGCAACTGCCTGTTGTACAGACACAAGTGTAGAGGATGACGTCCATTCTACAAAGTTTCAAACATATTATTCTTATAGTTTACATTTCAATGCTATTAAAGTAAAGTAATAAATTTCCACACATTTAAATGTCATATAAAATTTTCCAAAGTTAGTCATTTATTTTAGCTTTGTATGGTTTTGGAAAATGAGTCAAGTGGTTTAAACAAACAAAACTATTAATTACAAGATCAAAGTAAATTAAATAAACTAAATTTCAATTAAAAATAAATACTCAGAAAATTTCTTAAGTATATGCATAGTACTCACTTTTTTTGCAAGAAAGTATTCAGTTTTTTGTGTTTTCTGTTAAATTCAACAATTCTTCGGTGAAACCAGACAAAAAATGCTCCAGCAAAACCACAGAATACTCTAAAAGATACAAAACAAATATTAAATTGTCTTGACTAAATAATTAGATAGCTATTTTATGCTTGATCTTTCATGTTGCACACATTAAATGAGATATGAATAAAACACATTAATTATTTTGGGTACTTAAGATAACTGGCCAAGTCTGTTTTTTGTGCATTTTAAATCTGAATGTGTTAGTCATTAAAATATCTACAGATACTTTATTGAAAAAACATATATTTCAACACTTTTTAATGATATCAAATAAAGAAAATATGGAGAAAAAATCTAAACACAAACTTCTGCACCACTTTACCAGTTTACTCATGCTGTATTTCTTATTTCTCATATACAGGTTTGCCTAAAAAGTATGGTAGCTTAATGAAATACCTCTGTATGTTTCTGATTAACTTAGCTATATTTTAGACGTTCTACAGGCTTTCCCAGAATCATTAAGGGTTTTTTTTGTGAATATACATGTAAAATAGTACATTAAAAACAGTTAAATATTCCCCAAGAATTCACAAACTTCTATACAAAGTGATTCTTATATTCATATACCTATGAAACCAGTTTCAAGTTTTCAGCTTTTTCAAGTTGCTAAGCCTAATTTAACAATTTATAAATTTTCCTCTAAAACAATAAAAATCATTAATCCATTTTTATTATTTCCATATTTACTTAGCTGCTCTTTCCATGACCAAAATATGGTTTGAGAAGAAAAAAAAATTGGCTAGAATCTGTTAGTTCTGTCCACCTAGTTTAAGTACTGTAAAAATCCAACAAGTTCCTATGTTAATCTATAATCACAGATATTATTGATTTCAACTTATACTTGGTTGCTTCTACTATAAATACAAGTTCAAAGTGATTTCCACAAAGGAAAGAAACTCTTGAACTTCATATTTCGATCAGTCATTCTACACCTTGTTTGATACTTATGGCAAGAGTATTAGGCAAACTTAATAAAATTATTTAGTGAACACTCACTAAATAGAAGTTTGATATTTATTAGTAGTATTTTCAATGATGCATCTTTTAAACATGTTTATTTTATAATTTATAAATGAGGTCACTGAGTACAGTCAGTGTAACATTTTAAATGTTAAAATTCAATGACAAGGAACCCACTTTGAGACTAATAATGGTTGGAGATGGCTTGAATGGGTAATGAAGAAAAACTTTAATATAAGTTTAACATAACTGCCCAGAATTCTACATCGGAGAAACAGGAAGAAAATTGGAAACGTTGTAAATTTGCTGTTATGTTAAACTTATTATAAAGTTTTCTTCATTACCCATTCAAGCCGTCTCCAACCATTATTTTAAATGTTACTCCATATAAAATGTTATTAAACTATTGAATTTTAATTCAGTAATCCTCAGCACATTATTTAATTTTCTACATAAATCTCAGTCAGAAAATGTTATAAAATTATGTATTTTAAATTTAGGTAACACACACACACAGATATATATGTATATATATATCATTTCAATATATGTCTCATATAACCTTACCCAATCATAGCAAAGGCCACTAGTTCTTGAGGATCAAAAGGAAAATCCACTCTAAAGTTTGTTTTAAATAGTGCTGTTATTGTTTCTGTTTCAGGAACATTAAAAAAAAATATTATGAGTAACACTATTCACTGGCATATAGTAACATTTATGATATATAATGATATGAATTATCAGTTTCAGTTCACACTTTCCTATTCAGATAAAAAATAATTAAAATGAACCCAAAAACTAGATGTACTCTGAATATCACTCTCCACTTCTTTATCTTGTGAAAACCATTAAATCTAATTATACACAATGTTAAAATATTTGGTCTATTTATAAAGTAAACAAGTTATTTATATATATATATATATATATGCAACAAAGAAAAATATACATGCATGGTAAAACTCCAAATGACTGGCAACTGACCTTGGTACAAAAATAATTTAAAATTCCAAGTAAGTAATTAACATTACTCCAGTGAAAATAAAAATAAATTGTAAAAATGTGTTGTTACAGCTTTTACACACTGTATTTGAAATATGTCAATTTAGTTTAAATGTATAGGCCTAACTAGACAAATCTCAATAAAATTGGTGAAAAAAAGAAGATGCATGTATATAAACAAAAGAAAAAATAACAAAACTGTCCATAAATCTCATATTAATATACACACAAGAGACTTTTTACCTTCATCTTTAAACCACACAGCAAGTAATCTCCACACCATGGCTCCACAACAAGCAGCAAAAAATCCTCTCCAATAGTTCCGCACAGCAAAGAAAACAGAAGTAACTTCTATACTGAACAACACTCCTAGAGGTAAAATAATAACAATCTTTAGCTTTGAGGTGCCCGTGGAAACAAAATACATTTGTAAAGAAAACACATATTTTTCCTAATTAAAAACATTTGCAAGTTGTTTAGTTAGGCCTACACGGGATTGAACTTGACACTCTTTAATTGTAAGCACCCAAATATTAAAGTGTAGAGTATGACTTATTTCTCTGTATATGTGACAATGGAACACAAACAATGGACACTTAGATCCACAATCTAACCACTAGGCCACACCTGATTCAGTAAACATAGTAAAACAAGACAAGTTTACCTACCACCAATGGGAGCAGCAAAACTACAAGCTACGCCAACGGCACATGCAGCAGCCAACATTTCACTCGTTCTGGATTCATTCTGAAAACAAAGTCTACAATTTTCTAAATGTTTATTTACAAATGTACAAAGAGTACTAAGTTCAGAGGTGGTTTTTAAGAGAGAAAAAAAATTAAAATCAATACAAAACGTGTATTCTCCATACACTGTATTAGTTACATGTACAAGTAATCTAAAGCAAATCAGTTACATGGATAAAGAAACTAAGACCCAGCTGAAGTAACAAAATTTTGTTTTTTTAACTACAACTACTACAATTACAATACATGTGTTGTTTTCAAATTAAATTAAAAAAATATATATATATATATATTAATTTATTAATATATATACTTCTGAACAGTGTAAGGCTAAAATCATGCACCACCGTGATTGATTCATGATTTCCTATGATATCTTTTGTTTTGCTAACTGCCTCCTTTTTTTTTCTTTTGTTACAATAATTCATTAGAATACAATTAACCTTACAAGTATGCATAGAAAGAATCCTGTTCTAACATTGTGTTGTGATATCAACAGTACAAATTTCAAACAGCTATAAGGGAAATATTCCAGTGATGCATGACATTTGTCTGTATAAAATATCATGTAGAAGGTTAATACACGTATACATGACAAAGGGCAAATGTATTGAAACTTAATACATGATATAACCTAAAAAAGTTAAAAACAAAATTAATTCTTTGTCACGAGTTAAAAAAAAGAGAATACTTATAAAAACTTAAACATAATGCAGGATTAAATTACTGAAATTTTAAAGAGTGAATTTATTTATATCTTTTATAATTTCGACTAAGCTTTATATGGAAGATTTAAACCGCATAATGAAATTAAACACATTTGATAAATCTCTTTGTTCTTATGTAAAGTCAAGAATTTTTCTTTTACTTAATATTTATAACAATAATGAAAAATGCATCATCAATATAGTTAATAAAACCTTGTTTTCATGCACACTCTTATGCACTAATAAATATTTTAGCTGAAAAAAACAATTATCATGCATAAACTATACCAGATAAACCCAGCAAGTCAGATTAGTAGTATTCATATGAAAGAGCAAGACACAAACAAGTCAAAACAGCCAAATAACTTGAGTTAATAGGAGATCCACACATCGTAAGAAATAACGAAGGCTTCTATAACAAGCAAAGTATATATTTACAAACATAAACAACTGAAAATACTTGATTTTATACAGATTACAGCTTCTTTTTGATGCAATTTAAATCCATTTTAGTATATATGTATCAGAAATGAAAAATAGTTACTGATTACACGTACAATATTATTTTTTCTTAACCTACACATAGACATAAAGAGCATATGTTTAATTCAGTTTTGAATATTTAATTCAAACAGTCATTTTATGCAAATAAATTGCATATCTGACAGAATAAATAAATGCCTAACATCTTTAAAACTTAGTGCACCAGGGTAACACAGGATTATGTGAAAGGAAAGTCAGGGGAGTGTATCCACATATTCAAATTGAGAGTTTTACCACTGCTGGACTGAAACTCACTCTTTATCCATGTAGAGGTATATTTTACTATAAATTTACAACTATATTCAAGAAATACATGTAAAAGATATGCACTTCACTCCTTTTATGTTTGTCAATCATTGGAAGACTTTAAAAAAATATTTACTAATTTTTGTGCAGGCTGTCAAGTCTGAGATATTTCTTACTTTAATAATAATTGTTTTGAAATCAGCCAACAAGGTTTGAAACAGCAGTCTCTCTAGAAATTGTTAACATGCTGGGAAAGAAAACGAAGCCTTAAACAACTTACTTTCTAATAATGCTCTTTAACATGCTGTAAGAAAATACAGTTTAAAGTAGTCTACTTGTTCGTAATCTTTAACACGATGGGAGAGAAGACAAAGCATGAAACAACTTTCTCCCTAATAATGCTCTTCAACATACTGCCAGAAAAAACAGTCACAAGTAGTCTACTCTGGGAGAGGCAGCAATGCCTTAAACAGCCTACTTTATAATAAATATTGATTTTAAGCAAAGTTTTGCACAAATTACTATTCTAAAGTCAGAGACAAAAAATAAACTATAGAACAAACTGAAATGTATACAACAATACATCAAAAACAACATGAGAGATGATAAACGTACCCATATTATTACTATTAGAATCTAACAATGCAATATCATGCCCAAACTAAATAAATAACAATAATGGTTCATAAACATAGAAAAAGTAACTGTTTTCAAACCAATAATATGTAAAGGTTTTTTAAAGTAAAATATGTAGTTTATACACACAAACTAGTTTAATTATTGAATATCTTGCCAAATGTCTAATGATAACAGTAATGGTGGAATAAAGTAGCAAACTACATTTCAATTGAATTTTTTACTTAACTTCTAAAATTAAGACATTTGCATTCTCACTTTCAAAATATCAAAAGTGTTCTTTAACTACAAATACAAACTATAAAACATGCATATCAGACATAATATACTGCATGCACTGATGCAAAAACCAGGTCAACTTATACTTAAAACTTCATGCATTTATAACCAATCCTCCATTGTAAACCCTCTTCCGTCAAGATTTCAGAACGCAAACATCACACTCAAACTCACCTGCTTCATAAGAGCTCTATATGTTGTTCTATCCTGTCGAAACCATAGGTAACAAATGTATATTCTGCCTTATTTATGACTATGCAGTGCAGTTAAGTGGCTTTTCATGTTTAATTTCAAATAATAATACCGACCAAGTTATGCCACAATACACATTATATACTGTAGATGTTTCATCATTTATATAGTATATGTTTGTTAATGTTAGTGTAACATAACAGAAAATAATATGCTATCATAAGTACACAAGGTAGCATATGGAATTATACATCTATTACTGCTAGTTCTTTAAGCCACAACATGCTATTTAAAGTTATTATTCTACATCTATTCTCCCTCATACACTTCCAAAAGCTAAATGTCAGAGTTGCTATCATACTTTTCCACACTATACACCATTAGTCTCTGACTTGCTATGATACTTTCCCATTTGCAAACACTTGCTATGATACTTTTACATGATTCTTCAGGTCATTACCCGAGTCTTATAGATATCAAAATGGACTGAAATTACAATCCTGATTTATCTTTCAAAGCTTAAGAAAAGCTTGCTTTATTATTTTATACTTCATTTGAATGTTTAAGTATGGTAGAAAAATGTTTTTTTGCACTTGATCGTGTCAAGTTTCAATTCTCTGGCAAAGCCACTGTGTTAGGCCTCATTTGAATTAGACCTTATCAGCCTAAATAACTTCTTAAATAGGTAAAGAAAATCACCAAAAATATGTAGAAATATATACACGGATGTCAAATAAGTTTAAAACTTACTACATATATTAAATGAAACCTTCTAATTTAAAAGTTGGCTTGCTTATAATTTGGGTCTGATAAAAAAATATTTTTTTTGCACACCAGTGATCATAAACACGGTGAAAGCATGTGCATTGTTATTCAATTCAAAACAAAGATAAAATTTGGTTTTATAAAATAAAAACTTTAAAGGAAAGTAGAAAGATACACAAATTAGTAATTAAAATCTACAGCAGAAGCAAACAATTATTGTACTATCTTAAAAAACATCGCAATGAAATCTTTTCCAATTTCAAAGCTGTAGATTCTATAAAGATATCACATATAAAAACAAGATATTTTATTAGCAGAAGCTACATAATCTGTAGAAAGTAGTTTTGAAGTTTCATACAATTTCATCTAGTAGTTTATTTTCACAACATAATACAAAAAAAAAAACATACAAAACGTGTTGATTGATGCATGCATGTTTCATAGAGTTAAACAAGTAAATCCAAATGGTGAAAATATAGTTTATGTTTGAAATATCAGCTAAAATATTAAACAGTAAAAAGGATATATAACATTTTTTATAAGTTATACATACTTTCATGAAAAAATTTAATTACAACATTGTTTTTCTTCAAAAAACTTTTTTTAAAATGTATTAGATTTTGTTACAAATGTACACAACAGTTATAATTTTCATGCTACATTTTATACTGTTTTACCTTATATTCTTTTTTTTATCTGCATGCAAATTTAATTTTGTTCATTTGAACATCCTGATTATAATTCATTTAAATATACATGTATAAGAATAAAAAGGTACTTACTGTGACAATAATGTAGATGACAAGATTCACATAGATATTGGACTGTGTTGTTGACCAATGGCTGATAATGATGGCTTCATCTAGTGGTGGATTTGTTCCTGTCCAGGTTGTGTTGCTAAACAGTTCGCTCACCTGTTCGTGGGTGGTCAACTATAAGAAAGAATTTCAAAGAGCTTTATCATAAGTGCTCTCGAAACTCAAAAAAATTAATCGAGATTTTATAATCACATTTACATCTGATTCAGATTGAAAATCTGGTATGACCTCATTCTTAGCTTCCAAAAGTGTCAAGTTTGTAATCCTCCTTTAACTTTTGGTATACAAGCTGTAGATTCTAGTTTTCTACATTTTTCACAATTCTACAGAAACAACATTTGACAACTATACATTATACTTTGCTCAAATGGAAAATCCTTATCATGCCTGTTGCTTAGTGACTAAGAATGATGCAAGTATAACTTGATATCTATAAGACTCAGGTAATCACCTGAAGAATCATGTGATCAGTCCATTTTGATATCTATAAGACTCGGGTAATCACCTGAAGAATCATGTCATTTTTTTTCTGTAGCAATATGTTTCACCAACACAATCTTTTATCACTTTATTCTGATTTCAGCTGAACTAGAAGTCCTGTCAGCTTTTACAGTTGAAAAGAATGGTAGAGGTTTCGTTACATGTTTAGATCAGTAGCTTATGACGTCTTCCTTAAGCTGAGGTGTAGGCATTAACATCACACAGTGACAACTGAGTTGACAAACAGTTTTTTGCTCAAAACTAATTAATCTGCACTTGCACTTAAGTTAAAAAACAAATTATTGTCATATTTTTTCTAACTTGTAATGACTATAAGTGCCATATCATGATCAGGAAAATTCACAAGCACTAAAGATTTTGTTGGGAGCTTGGTGAAATAAACCAAAAATTCAAATTTGCGATGATTTAACAAAACAATTTTATATAAAATCAATTTAATAAATGAAACTTTTTATTAAATAATTTTAACCATGAAGTATTTAATTTTGTTAATATGTGGGGAAACAACTGCAAGTTTATTTTAAATAAATTATTTTCATTCAGTGGTGCAATTTTGCCCTCAAGGCTGACTGCATTCATCTGGCCATGATAAACTAAGCCTATGTAAAGCTATTTAATTTTCACCTGTATATTTCTTGACAAAACATTATTATAATTATTTTATAATAACGAAATTAGCAGGATAAAGTAAATATAATCATATTTAGATTCCAAAGTATGTATTTTTCTTGCCATGCATGGGTGAGATGTGGCCATAACTATGAATTTGAGGATTTAGGATTGACTACCCATTGCCACAAAAATGCACTCCACAGTTTGAGGTTGTGGGTGCATTATAAGAGTAATAGTCAGAAATTCCATTATTTGATCAAACAAGAATAGCCTTAAGAGTTGGTGGGTGTTATTGATTAGCTGCCTTTCCTATAGTCTGTCAGTTTGAAATTAGGGACGGCTGTGCACAGACAGCAGTTTTTATAGCCTTTGTGTAGGTTTTTTAATGAGGGTTTCCAGCCTATACCTATTGCTTAATATATGAAGTAATTTATTGAAGAATTTTAGTTTTTTGATGATTTTGTCTACAACTCTGGAGGATTTTGACAGTTTCAGTGTTGTTGACCATGAAATGAGTTTGTTAAATATACACAGAAAAATTAATTAAAAAACTTTCAAAATATTTCGAAAGTGAGTTTATTGTCAAAAAAACATAAGTGGGTGCTACT